AGAGAGAGAGAGAGAGAGAGAAAGAAATAACCCCCCCCCCCCAGGGGGGATGGCCATGCCACAATCCCTTCTCCTTTATTCTCCTCTTGGGATCTTGGGCACGCATGTACACACATCCAGTATGAGTTTTAAGCCACCGGGTTCGGGATGAGAACTGCGGTCAACTACATGGGACGAAGCCATTATGCTAACTGCTGGTCCCAGAGCTGAATGATCTTTTGATAGGAGAAACTGTCTTCTGGATTCTAGGATGTTGAAGACCACCACGGGTCTTCACCCACCAGATGACGGTAGCACCCTCCCTTGAGGGTGATAATCAAAAATGACTCCAGGTGTTGACTGATATCTTCTGAGGGTTAAATTTCCACTGGCTGAGATTCTCTGTTTCAAACACTTCTAGTTTTTAAAATTTCTAAAGAGGAATCAAGATTAGGTGTGTGCGGTCCTTGTAGCGCTAATATTCTCTGACCTGTTAGTCATGCTCACTAAATTAATGTTCTTACCAGATAATACTAGAACTTAGTTTTTCTGGTATCCTCAATTTTCAGAAATTATAGCTACTTTCCCCACTGACAGTAGGGGAACTTCAACGGCAATTTCTACCATATCTTTTTAGTCAAACATCCACTTTGCTCATTTCTATTTTTAATGTGTGTAGCATTTTCCAGAGAGGGTGATCAACCATTTCAGTTACCAGGGAGAGTTCTATGTCCTGAAAAACCCTACATTCTGGGCAAACCAAGTTGCTTTTCTTCCAGACCTGTTTCTATGTGATCAAATATATGTGTTTAGGTATGTATATATACATACATATTATGAAGAGAGAGTAATATGGCACTGATTTTTCTTAGTCTACTTTTATTATTTCATATTTAACATGTTATTAAATATCTCAGCATCAGTTCTGTAGCTCAGCAATTAAAGGAGCTGGATCCCTCATGGCTAACTGAGGTCTCAGCCCCCGCAGCTCATAAAATGTGCCTTGCAAGTGCGTGAGTGTGCCCAAAATCCTGATGGGAAGAGGAATGAAGAAGATCATGAGTGAACACACCCATTGGAGGCTGCTTTCTTTTTCTTTCTGGTAAGTACATGTGTTCTCTGGTAATAAAAAAACATCGTACAGTATATTATTTTGTTGCAAGCATTTAACTCCATTAATTAACATACAATAGTTTACTGAATGTTTTCTGCGTGGTTAGACATTTTTGTTCTTTCTAGTTTCTTTTAAAATAAAAATCGGTTTCAATGAATAATAGCTATATGTTTATGTACTTCTTTTCAATATTTTTGCATTCTAATTTTGAAGCATTAAAAATACACAAACATTTTTACAGCTATACATATTTCTTTTGTCATATTTGAATCACGTTATACATTAAACATTAAACATGGGTCAGCTGGTGATATAGTGATTAAGATGGCTGAATCTCACACGATTGACTGTGCAGTTGGAGTCCCAGACCAGGTGGCTTCAAAAACATGCCAGTTTGTATACATGCGTGTCCAAAATTCTGAAAGGAGAAATGGAGGAGAAAAGATTGTGGTGTGACCACCCCCTCAAGGGATGAGGGTGGGGTTCCCTAACTTTCTCTCTGGAAAGCATGTGAGCCATATAGCAAAGCTTAAAAAATTAAACATAAATAAAATGTAACAAGTTCAGCTAATATTTCCCCTCCTCCCTACTTCCCCTTGTGTACTCATTGTCTTTAATGTGCCCAGGACATTTTAGGTAGACCAGGCCAAGGGTCTTACCTGTGGTCAAGTGTGTAGCTTCTAACATTGCAGTCCCGTATGCTACTAGGGCCACTAGTCTCGGTTTGACCTCACATTTTTTCCATTCATGTATAAATACAATTACATTTCCTCATTCTTTTACTATTATAATGTTGTATTACTTACACGAGTATGTCTGTGTATTTTATCGTCATATACAGTGCAAAAGTCCTGCAAGGCAACCACACAGAAGAGAAAATAATGAGGATGCACATGTCTCCAACTTCACTTCGACTATTTCTTTCCTGAATGGTTACATCAGGATTTAACACTTCCAGCAGCAAAGTATAAGGAATTAACACTTCCTATAGCAATGTATAAGATTTCCTGCTTCCCACTGCTTTGCTGACAATCTGATAATACATCAGATCCTATTCATATACTCTTCCCTTTTCCTTTCTTTGAATTTATATTCTACTTTTTGTTCTTTTCCCATTGAGTTTACATTGTTCATTCTAACTTCTTCAGCTATTCTTAGCGTATTGATTTTCAGTCTCTCCCTCTTTTACGGCGTACCTTTAAAATTATGAATTTCTGAGTAATAATTCAACTAGCTATGGCATCTTAGGATTTTTGTAGTGTTTATTATTATTTTTTAAAGAATTATTTATTTAATTTTATTTGTTCATTTATTTTAATTTGACCAGAGAGAGAGAGACAGGGAGAGAGAGAGAGAGAAGAGGGAAAGTAAGAAAGCAAGCCATCTGGTCCGGAATTCGAACCGTAGATGGTCATGTGGGAGTGTCCAGCGCCTTAACCACCACACCACCTGCTGGTCCCAAGTAGTAGCTATTATTAATCAGCTTTAATTTTTTCAAAACTTGATTTAGCGCCCAAGATACCAAGAGGATAAAATTGACATAAAATAAAATGTGTCAGGGAAGGGTACCCTTTTAATATTTTTCTTTGTTTTGCTAGAGTGCATGTGTGCTCATAAGAGCAAGACAGAGTAACAGAGAAAGAGAGAGAGAGGAGAAAACACACAAACCCCTTAAACTCACCTAACGTGGGTAATGGTCACATGGCAATCTATTCTCCATTTTTCCCTCCTTTCAGAATTTTGGGCAGCCACAGGACCAACAGATGGCATAGCAGTTACATTACTAGACTCCCATGTAGTCAACTGTGGTTCCAGTGCCAGACCTAATGGCTTAAAACTCATGCTGGACACAAGTGAGTGCTTACCCCAAATCCCAAAAGGAGAATGGAGGAGAAGGAATTGTAGTATGGCCATCATCCCAGTGGGAGGTGGCGTGGGTATCTTCCTTTCTGTCTCTCTCTGGTGCACAAACATCCTATAGCAAAAAAAAAAACCAAAAAAAACAAAAAAACAAACAAACAAAAAAAAAACAAAGAAAATGGGGGCATCCACATGCAGGCATGTGCTTGGTACCTTTCTCAAGCTCCTGGGTCCAGAACTCAAACTGTATGGTTTTTCATGTGGGATTTGGCTGCCTTAACTACCAGGCCATGGAGCCAGCTACTATCAGACTTATTTTTTTACATGGATATTTTCTAATTAAGTCTGTTTTCCCATACAAGTCAAAATTTATTACTGCAAAACTTACTGTGCCCTAGAACATCCCAAGGCAGTTGAGGTACTTTTTGATCAAATTATGATGGTTAGAAGACAGCTCTGCCCAAGAGCACAGAAAGAGCCTTCGAAGACTAATGAGGTAAAACTCCCAATTACATCTAACAGAATTTTATATCTGATGGAACCTCCAACATCTGGGATGTATTTTTTTTTTTTATTTTACAGCTGCAAATTTACTAAATGTTTTTATTTGTTGCAATAGTTTTATGCAATAATACAAATATGACCATCACCTGCTAATTAACCTATGAATTGTATATAATTCTAACCAACACAATAGTTTTCTTTCCTTGGCAACTTCCTAAGTATATCTAGTGAAATACAGGCAGTCTCCTCATTGCGTGGTATGGCATGAGCTGAAATTCATGTACATCACGTCTTCACTTTATACAATTTTGTGGTCACCGAAGAACTGCAAATTGAGAATACACTTCTGATCGGAATGTTTTTGTAGTTAACACAGACTGTTTAAAATGACTACCTGTATTGAATAACAACAATGAAAATGGACTTGTGCATTACATACTGAAACACACAATAAAGAATTAAAATAAAATACAATAATTCTTCCCCAAGGAAAGATAGCTAGAACAGAGAAAGAATAATAGAAGGACATTTTGGTAACTTTTAAATTTAGTTTATAATAAACCTAGAATTTTTTTCCTTACTTTTTGGATCTGAACTGCAATGTTGGAGGCCACGCAAATGACCATAGGTTCAGATCCCTGGTCTAGTTGACCAGAAATATGTGCACAAAGAAAGAAAATAAAATACTGATATATGTGTCCTCCAAGACGTGAAAACTTCTGAGTGGTTTTGAGATGTCCTAAAGAAAACTAAAGAGAAAGGGCAAAATAGATGAGGTGGGAGATTAGTATAATATGGCCCAAATGTGTCATCAATAATATCTACTTGCCAGCTGTTATATTTCAATGTAACAACAACAAAAGTACTTCGAGAGAATTTGGGCAAAAGATCTGAGCTGATGGAAAAGCTTAGACAGCAGTGTCTATAGAGCCCAGAACCCCATTAACTCTCATCGGTCCTTGGAGCACGTTCCACATCTATCTTGCTGCCTCTTGTCCCTGATCGTCAAGATTTTCACTTAGAAAGAGACAGGAAGGTAGACTGATGCCTTCCTACTTCTGCATTTGAGTAAACATGAGGAACCTGGAAGTAGGGAGTCCTTGTGTTATGTGATTGGGTGACAGCAGCCTGAATTCAACACACTGCTGGACCTTGCGTGTAGAGGATGGCTACTCTGATACCAATGTGTGCTTTTAGGGTACAGCAGCACCCAGGCTTGTCCACTGTGTCTG